TTGATACTAATTTTATTATAATCTGGTATAGCTTGCAAAAGGCAAAAAAAATGATTTATTGTAGTCTATAGTAAGCTTTTTATGAGTGCACCAATCTAGTATAATTTTTTTTAAGTCATTTTCTGTTTTATATTTTAGTTCTTCCCAGGTATCTGCTTCGTAAAAAATAGCCATGTCATCAGCAAAGCTTACAATTTGGCCTGTAGTCTTTTGAATATACAAGTCATTTACATATATTGAAAATAGTATAGGACCAAGGACTGTCCCTTGTGGTACACCAGTTTTAATCAATTTGCTTTTGTTAAACTCATCTTTTACTTATTGATATCGGTTATTAAGGTAGTCTTCAAAAAGCTTTAATGCCCTTCCCCGTATTCCTGCATCTTCCAAGGCCAGCAATAACTGTTCATGATGTACAGTATCGAAGGCCTTGGCTAAATTCAGGAAAATAGTTAGGTTTGGTTTATTACTGTCCACCGACTGATAAACCCTTTTGGTTAACTCTAGAATTGCATCAGTTGAAAAAAAGCCCTCTCGAAATCCAAATTGTTTTGTAGAAATTAGGACTGAAAATAATAAAAGTACCTATTCATTTTTTAAAAAAAGTCATAATATCGTTATGCTTTAAAAATTAAACCTATTTTATAATTTTCTAGTTAGTTAAGTATATAATTTATTTAATAGAGATCAAATACCCCATCAGTAGTGTGAACATACAGTAGCACATGCCATTTCCGCTAAAAATTACTACAAGGGGAGAGAAAATTTTTCAATTTATTCACCCCTTCAATTACTCATTATTGAATAACATGCCAAAATCGCGTCAGCCTGTCATGAAATTTTACTCAACCAATAAACGAATTTCGTTCGCCCCTCGAGGGGTAATTTTTGGGCACGATAGAGGTGCAGTCACTGGTGAAAAAAAAATAAATATGGACGCTTGATATTTTCGTGAATCACCGAATATGCCGGTTATAGATTTCTATTTCAGATAAGGGGTGGCTTTTTTAATGTAAATATTCCCCATATCCGATTATAAAATATACGAAATAGGTCCTAAGCGTATATGTGGGAAATAAATTTAATTTCGAATGATCTATTGAGTTCTGATGAATATTTACTTCGAATTTGAATTTTTGGAAAAAGTCAAAATATTTTCAATGGCTTATCGTCTCATGGAAAGCCTCTCAACAAAAACGTCCATGAAGTTATATAGTGTGTTCCATTAGAGAAGAGTATACGCCGTTTCATTAGAAAAAAGTCATAAAGAAGCGGAATTTGGACTTGTCTTTGAAGTTTTCTTTAGGAAAGTTGATTTGTAGAATATTTTCGATTTTAAGACGTTAGTTTGTTTATAAGTTAGCAAGGGCGATTCCACGGTGTCACCCACCCGCGTGCAAAGACTTAATGTACCGCCCCTCTAGAGAATTTTTCATATTTTGACTAATACTTAACGTTGACGTTATAAACTCATCTACCTGTATAAAAGTAAAAGTAAAACATTAATAAAAATAAAAATATATAAAAATAAAATTTTAAGGGCAAAACTTTATTTTTTGGTCAGCTAATAGGTTTTAATAGCGACAAAATACATCAACAAAATAATAAACAAACAAAAATATTACCTTTTTTTAATAAAAATAGACATTTTATAATTAAAAAAGTGAAACAAAATTATTTACTCAGAAAATATAATCTAATTAAAAAAGTATTAAAATATAACTTAGTCCTTCTAAAGAGACTACCTAATAATTAACTATAAAATAACTTTCTCAGCTGGCACTAGGGGAGAGAGAGAGATTTTACCCGCAGCCTATGGAAGCAACAGAGATGGGGATATTTTGCATGTATTTAAATAGTAAAATCAAGGAATGTTCGTGCCAGGCACAGCGCCGATAACGGTTCAGATTATCGCGGTTTCTCGATAATGTCGATTGTTGACTGAATTAACCGAAATTTTTTTCTGGCTTTTAAGTTTTTTGTTAGGCACGTTACGAAGTGTTAGTGACTTAATTACCTACGTGTCTTTTTGTTTTCGATACACTTGTTTAAATATCTTATTTCCTAGTTTTTAATTTATTGTGACAATGAATAAAATTAGCGTCTTAAAAAACTCTTTTAGTGGTTTTTCGCTGAAAGAAAAACTACAAATTAAAGAATTAGGTCAGCCAATTCCTGATTTAAAAATTGAAAAACAAAGTGGAAATGGGCAAAAATCGCGGTGTCGTAAATTTAATAAAACTATTTATAATGAAAATAATTGGTTATGTGGTTGCGAAGAAACTAATTAACTGTTTTATTTTGTATGTGTTTTGTTTGGAGGTGACAGACTATCTTGTCCATATATGGGATAAATGAAATCCTTGAAAAATCTTAAGTGCACATGAATAATGTTTTTAGCTTTTCCATGCTTGGTATGTTTAATATAAAAACCCAGTTAAATTCGGCTTATCGTGATGCTCTAATTAAACATAATCAACAAGAGAATAAGAATTGATATGTTTTAAATCAAATTATAAATTGTATAAGGTTTTGTGGAGCTTTTGAGTTAGCTTTAAGGGGTCACGATGAGAAAGATAATTCGGAAAATAGAGACATATTTAAGGAGTTAGTGAATTTTATCGCCGAATTAGACAATGACTTAGTTAGAGAGTTAGAGAAGAAATAAAAAATTCTCCTTTTGTTGCAGTGATTGCCGATGAAACGACGGACATTGCTTGTGAATTTCAATCAGTTATAGTTTTCAGATATTTGTGTAAAGGACGACCCGTTGAGAGATTTTGAAGGTTTTACATGCTGATGGACACGACGCCAAATCTATCGCTTAATGCATTTTAAATGTTTTACATCCATTATTAAAACATAGTCCAAATAAATAATTGCTCAAAGCTATGACGTCGCGTCTGTAATGAATGGTGGATTAAATGGTGTGCAAAAAATTATTAAACAAACATATTCTCTTGCGAATTACGTTCATTACTATGCACACCAAATGAATTTCCCAGCAAACATTTTCTATAACATTAGTTATAATTCGACTTTGTTTAAGACGAATTTACTTATTGAGGTAATTATTACGTAAAATTGACTAGAAAAATATACCTCTAGTAAATTTACCAAACGGTTTTAATTTATATTTAAATTTACGTAAATTATACCAAGAAATCTACCTTTTACACAAATCTGCTTAAAAGTAACTTTAACCATATCAGCAAGGGAAAAACAACTTAAAAAAATAACCAACAATTACTTCAAAGTTAAATTTCCTTTGTAGTAAAATTAGGTGCCATATTTAGGTAATATCTACCTGTTTGGCAACTAAAAATCGACTTTATAGTAGAATATCCAACTAGGTAGATTTGGTTAAAAATTCTACGTAATTTTATGCCTCCATAGTAACCTATTTGGCCGCTATTATTTACTCTCCTTTAAAGTAATATTAGGTCGAGATCGTAGCAAAATTCTACCTGTTTATCTACCTAATTTCAACCAAATAGTCGAATACTCATTTAGTTGACCTATAAGTCATCTTGAAGAAATATTTATTAACTTTGTTGTAGCAATTACCTGAAAAATTTACCACAAAGTAAATTCGACTAAAAACCACCAATTTAAAAAAAGTCATACATGACCTATTTGTAAAATTTATATTATTTAGGTTATTTTAACAATTAGGTTGTTCAGTTACTGTCTTCGTCATTATTCTTAAGAATTTCGGCCATTTTAAAAAAACCATTACAGTCGTAATCTTAATTTACGTGTGGTGTAGATAGAGCTTTAAATAAATGCGAAAAATAATTAATAAAATGAGTTCGAAAAATAATAAATCATATCGTTATACTTCCGATTTTTATCGTAAAGTGAAACGTCTAAAATCTCAAGTGCAAAACAACGTGACCTAAATATGTTATATTTACCTATAGGTAAATTTTTTATAAAACCTATAAGTTATTATTTCTTTAAATAGGTAAAGTTAACTAATATGTCGTGAAATTGAAGTTAATTCAACTTAGTAAAAAGGTATTTGTAAAATATGTAGATTTCCTTAGTCATAATAACTTTTAGGTCGAATTCGCACAATACGCCATATTTTCTTAACGTAATTGAAGTACGATTCCAAATTTTAAATTTTTAAAATGACCATAAGTAAAACATACGAATGAAAATACCGAAAAACGAAACATTATTGATTTTCTAAAGTGATGCACAACAAACGTAACATAGTTTTAGCTCATAATATTATTATTTTTTTACACGATCATATTTTTTTCTTATATTTTTTTAATTAGAGAATATTTTGGAAGGGCATTGTTATTTTTCTAAGTAGAACTGTTAACATGCACGACAAAATTTTCTTCGCATTAATTTCAACAAGCGTGAACTGTATATTCACCGCAATTACATTACATATATTTTTGTCACCGACATTTATTTATTTTCAATCTTTCATGTCAATTAGGTATATGTTTTAGTTGTGTTGGTTACTTCTTACAATATTTCTACTTATATATAGATAAAAATACCAAATAAGTATAAAATTTCTTTTCGTACACTTGGAGGCATACGTCATCTGCAAATATTTTGGTAGTTTCTACCTAAACTTAGTTAAATCAACGTCGAATTAACGTTATACTGACGTCAAATTTCCCTAGAGAGGTATTACTAACCAAACGTACTGGGCTACTACAATGTGGATTTAGATGTAATTCTACCTATTTTGGTAAATAAAACCAAATTTCGACGTCGTCTTATTCTCCACTTATGTCGAATCCACGTCGAGCCAACGTAAATTTTACTTAATTATGGTTAAATCTAATTTTGCGACCAAATTTATTATATATAATTTAGGTAGTATCGACGTCAAATTACACCAAAATGTTTGATGGGTTAGTTATGCATGTTCTGGCAATAAGCAGGCTAGAATATTTTTTCTAATTTATCTGGTTTGTGCTTTCTTTTCCACGTCTCCGTAAAGAACAAAAATTTTGGATGAGGTAGTTAATCGAAGGCTGCCGAGATCTTTGGAATTTCCAATCGTGAGGTGTTCAAACTGTTTAGGAGAATAGAAAGACCTCATTACAGTTGTGGACATTATAGAAAATACTTCACGCGATTCGTCGTCTATTAATCAAGCAAGTGATTACAAATTAAAACTTCAGGATAAAAATTTTATATTTTATATTTTTCATTAAATAATGCCTCACGTGGAAAATATTTTTAACTAATTACAAAAAGTATGCACAGATTCTGTTAAGGTTAAGAAAGATTTGGAGAATTTCAAAGTAGCCATTCAAGGTATACGGGAGCAAATGAACAGCATTATTGACAATATTCAAGGAGAAATAAACACGTCGCAAGGAGAAACTGGTGAACCAATAAGAAAAAAGGCACGAATTGAAGAGAACAGCAGAAAACGCGAAGCCTTAGAAATATGCGATGCCGTTTTATTGCAAATAAAAACAAGGTTCAACTTCTCTGGGCATTTGGTCGCTTCTAATTATACATTAAAATTTATTAGCTCATAGTAAAAGTATCAAGAAGTATTTTCTTATAAACAAAAAAAATGTTAATTATCATTGTAATATAACGAGACCTTGGTAAATAGTCGACTATTTTTATTGTATCTAAATTTTGAGTGTTTTTTGGTACCAATTTGTCCAGACAAAATTTTGTCATTAATAATTTTTGATTATTAATGACAAAATTGTCGAGACAAATTGCAAAATACACGAAAAATTTAGTAACAATAAAAATAGGCTCTAATTTAAGGTCGAGATATATTTAGTAAGATTATTTCTAGAGCCCTAGTTGTAACTAAAAAAAAAAATTAGTTAAAGTTAAAAGAACAAATATTGTAAGTGACATTTCCAGTTTGCATAATTTGGGACATTCGTCCTGCTTTTGACGAAGTAGCGGTATTCATGGTAGCAGTAGAAACTTGACTTTCTTCTACCGGATTAAAATCATTATTCACAGAAGTGAAAGCTTGACTTTCTGTATGTCCTCGAAGTTGGTTAATAACACTTTGATGATGCTGGTCATCCATCTGTAAGTATGGTTGAATAGATGATGAACCACAATAATGTTACCATAGTCTATCTTCTTTTACTTGTACTTTTACTTATGACGTTTCCTATGATAGCTGCAGGCTACTGCAGAGTGCTGCGTAACAATAGGATTATATTCTAACCTGCCTGTCTCTTTACCATCTTCAGAGGTTTCAAATTTAAAATATTCTGTTAAACATGTTGCGTCTTCGCCACCGCGCCAAGCTAATTCCACGGAAGCCAAATAATAGAAAATCTTTTGGAGACCGTCTAGAGTTTGGTCATCCAATTTGTCAATAATATCGTGTATATGTATTAAGCTTAGAACTTTGTTTCCTTTTCTCTGAAAATTTCTGCAATTCCTGTCTTTTTGCATTTCGTGCATCGCGAGCACTTTTAAATTCAATAGATACCTTGAAATAGATCTATCTTTATATTAAATTTTTTAAGATATATTTCTTGAAACGTCTTAGCAGTTGAGTTCCACATACACTTTAAAGATTACTCTTTGTAGTCGCTTCCGTCTTCTTTTTTCATGTTCCAAGCCCAATCTTTTAAGATATTACATAGTTCAGCAACAGTTTTATCATTTGATAAAACATATTTGCGCTGAACGCAAAATTTCATAAACTGATTCCATACACTATTTTGACTTTTGATTGTATTCTTCGGGGTATTATTGTCTATAAAACTGTCTATTTCTTCGCTATTAACACACCCAAATCGGTTAATTTTAAACGTTTCACTAATATATTAATTTTTAGTCTGACACTTAATATTATTTGACAGTAACCACTTTTAATATTACACCTACAATCAAGTATGCGAGTTGCTGTCAACATAGGTGAATATCGAGCACCATGCATGGATAGTCAGTGAAAATAGTCAATTTATTTGTTTCTGATTGGTTCTAACGATAACGTAAATTGCGATGTGTTTGGTTAAAATTTCAAATCTGACTGGCGAGGGAAATAATCATAATTATTATTCATGAATGTTCTTCTTTGAAAAACAGTTTACCTATTCGTTACAGATAAATCAAATAGCGTATACCTATAGTAAAAACAATGCTAAAACTGAAACCACCATCATTAAGAAAGTGGTATTGAAATTCCAATTTTGAAAAAGCGTCTAGCAAAATTTTCGCTTTGTATTTCCAAATAGGCATTGCATCGTTGCTTTTTCCTCATTAAAATTTTTTAATTACTGCTACACTTAACGACTCAGGAATAATAAACAGAAGAAAAAACGACGGGCTTTCAAATCATTCATCACCATTTTGTAAAAGCAAAATCCTTTCGGTCGTTGTAGCGTATTTGTTGCTAGGCGAGGCCAGTGGCGTATCTGACCGTTTTTTAAATAAAGTTGGTACAACAACTGTTATGTTTAATTCAATACATTTTAATAAAAATTATAATAAAAATTATAATATTAATAATTATAGGCTAAGAAGAGAAAAAGTTCTTTGATTCTTACAAGGATATGTCGTGTTTTTTTCAAATTGTGACACGTTTCGAAGCTACACCTACTGGAAAAAGAGAATGTTGCGAATTATATCGAAACATTAAAAAACAAGTTTATAGAAAAGTATTTTTTACTAAGAAATATTACTAATTGTTACCAATCAAATTAATAACAAATTACTAAAACAATAATAAACTATCATTACAGGAAAAGTATAACATCGAAAAACTGTAAAAAATGATGATGAATTGGTTTTACCTTAAATGTCATTAGGTTTAATTTGTTAAAAGAATCGCAGTGTAAAATTGAAATTTTTTTTAATGTACGGATCAGATTACATATGACAGTGTTGTCAAATTTTAATTTTTCTCTAATATTTTTTTCTTATACAGTGTGTGCCATAAAGTTTGATCTATCTGAGAATATTATTATTGCGATTGGAAAAAAACGTATAGAGCATTCACCTCTGCTTATTTCAAAACTTAAAATAGCCCATATCAAAGTTGGCTACTGTCATTAGTTATCTGTCGAATTCTCAATATTTTTGGAAAATCATTCGAAAATGGCGAATTGCGAATTTGACAGATAGCCATTATCAGTAGCCAACTTTGATATGGGCTATTCTAAGTTTTAAAATAAGCTTGATATTAAAAATATCCCATAGATCCACTGGCACACACTATATATAGAGGACAAACTAGAAAATGATGTTCAAAGTGGTACATGGTGCATATTGTCAGACTGGTAATAACATTTTCCATCTAAAATACGTGTTAGGATATAATTTTTTATCTGAAGGATTTATTTTTGACTTAATTGGTAAAATAGATTTTTAGTAGCATATCCAGGACAAGGGTGGCCACAGGACGAATTTTCGGGAGGCATTGCTAATAACAATTCCCTTTTTAACATATTTTTTTTAATCAAAGTTTCATTTATTATAAAAAATGTAGTCTCTGGGGAGATGGGGGCATGGCCCCTATGGCTTCCTTCCTGGAGCAGCCCTTGACCCAGGATCTGTACTAGAAGGCAGACCAATAAAAAAATCACAATAGTTTTTCTTTTCTTTTAATTAAATATTAATAACCACGTTCTATACCTATGAGTAGCAAAAAAATTATTGTCTTTTTATAATATTTTTTTGTTCAGGTGTATGATTTTTATGTTTTATTATAAATTTTTAGGGTCTTTTCCTCGCTGGGTACGTTTTTGTAGCCTTTGTTTTGAGTTATTGGAGGCTATTATTAGACTATTATTTTCCAGTTTATGGCTTTCCACCTCAAAAAAATCATGTAGATGCATTTTTTTTGTAGATGTGATCAATTAAGTAAAATCTTCACTTCTACATCAGTCTCACACTGTTCATTAGTACCTCTAACATTTATAGATAGGGAATATTTCTATAACTTCAAATTCATTAGGGACAACCTACAAAATAAAACAATTATTCATATAAAATTGTACTACGGCCAAGAAATTATCCTGGTACAAATAAAATATAATAAAATTGTCATACTTCTAAAATAATTTCTGGTACAATGTACAATGATTTTTCTTGGCTGGCAACTGCAATCTAAATCTGTTTAAAGTTAGGTAGTTTATATAATTGCCATAAGACCCTATTTCTTGATGGAACTCAGTCATCGCTTCATTTGGGTGGTTTTCCTATAAAAGAGCACCGTTTTAAATAAAATTCAACACAATAAAGTTGCTATAGTTTACCCAACACACTAGGATTTAATTAAATTTTGTCTCTTTGAAATCTCTTCTGATGACATTGTATCCATTTACGCAGGTTTCTGTTTCTAAAACTTCGGTTACGCCTTTTGTAGAAAACACTGCACATTACTTACAGTTTGGTACAAGACACATTTCTCAATAAATCATAGATACTGGAACAAAAACAAAATATAAATTGCAGTCGTAATACTAAATTATTGTTGTATAAAATTTGTAAATAAACATTATAACCTCAAAAATACTTTTATGCTTAAAATAATAATTAAATGTTTTACCTTGAAGACGTTTTTCGGTAACAATTTTTTAATTGACACATATACTCCTGATTTATTAAAATCGCAGTTTTATTTAAACACTATTAAAATTGTCGTATGGGGATTTATACTTATAGTTAGATTGGAAACAACGGGATACAATCAGATAGATTGAAGTAGAGATGACGTAAGCACTATTTTATATGATAAATGAACGCACTTTGAGTCGTATTTTGATTAATTTGAAGTTAATAAATTTATATTGAAGATTGACCGAATAAAAATGTTTTTATATCATTTAAATCACGCTATTTAAAACAAATGGTATTTATTTTCACCAAAACTGACTAGCTCCACTAGCTCGAGTTGGACATATGACGTACACGTGATAATGCAAAAGTGCGGACACTTTTATTATCGTCATAGCATCTTCTCTTTATTCTGTCTCAATGATTGGAAGAATTCGTATGTCCCACCTTATTTTGTGACGTTTGGCCTTGATTATGTGCGATCCAAAAAATAATATGATTTTTGTGATTTTAAGCAGCCACATTGTTTATTTCACCGTTCTCTTAACGTGTTGACCTCTCTTTTCAGACAGGCTTTCGCAAAACCTCTCGCTTCCACACCACAGTGGCGCAATTAGCCAGAGCGCAGTAACGTACCAAAAAATTGAGATTAACACGTATGAAAACAATAAAATTATTAAAATTGAATTTATATTTTTATGTTATTTATTTTAAAATAAAATGTTTTGATTAAATGCAACTGGGTGTTCACTGCACAAATGAACTAATGGAGAAACCGCTCCTAAACGAGGTCCTGGTCTGTGCAGGATAAAAAATATATCTTCATGCGTTTAAGTTTTTTAGGACCTTTTATTAAACTAAACATATTCTTTACAAAATAATCACTTGTCTGTTCCTTCTTTGAAATGGGTCCCCACAGTTTCCCCCTGGCACGTGTGGTCTATGAAACAATCTGTCAAAAGACTTGTTTATTTTAAAATGTTAACAATCTTACTAAACGTATTTTATTCAAAATATAGATGGCACTTAAGCATCTTCAGTGGTACCCTTCTGACGAGAAAAAGTTTCCTTTGGCCTCATATACGTACGCTACGCCACTGGTGAAGTCCCGAACTAGTAAAATTCAAGATTTAGGTCAAAAGTCTAGTTAACAGGAATTTTCTATATTTTTTTACACACATATTTTGAAATAAGGGGGATATTAATTAATTTTAGATAATAGAAAATTTGAGTTAAAATTGTAGTTTAAAATATATTTTTTCTACTACCGTGCGTAAAGTACGTACTTTACGCACTCCACGAAGTGTGTAAAGTTGTACTTTTTTTCACTAGTGCGTAAAGTAAAACTCTTTACGCACTAGTTAAAAAAAGTAAAATTTGACAAAATTTGTACATAACAACAAAATATAACGTTTTATTTTATATTAACATTTTTTTGCTATCTCCTTCTAAGACAAATAAATAAATTATTTTTGCTTACATCTATTTAGTGTCCAACAAATTATCAACAGTTTATTTTAATTATAATTTTCTCTAAATGTCATCGATTTAATTAAAAGTAAACATACAGTGGATGTCGATTTTGGTAAAAGTAAGTTGGCCATGGCTGTGTGTATTAGAAGAACTGTCAATCTCTAAACTTTTAATTAGTACCTACCTTATTATTACAGAACACGACAAAAGTATACTTAAGTTCAAGATTAGATTCTAAAGCCATTTAGCATTTTTTTAAATTCAATCAAGTTTAAGAAGGTAAAAAGTTTTACTTTTTAATGTTTGTTTACTTAAATTCAAATTTTATTTGCAGTTTATTATATCTGTCATAATCGATATGGATTCAAATTTATCTAGCGATAGCGAATTTGATAATACTCCCCCAGATATCTTATGCAGTGCACAAAAGGCCACTGAAAATTTATTGCCAGAAAAATCTGCATATATTTATCAGCAAAAATAAAATGCATTTATAGAATAAGGTGACAAAATATTCGGAAAACGTTATTTTAGCATATTTCTCTGATGAATTGAAGAATTGCAAAGCTTCTACCCTATGGTTGATTTATTCTATGCTTAAAAGCACCTTAAAATATAAAAACAACGTTGATACTTCGAAATTCAACAAGTTAATAGCGTTTCTCAAACAAAAAAATAAAGGTTATAAACCAAAAAAATCCAAAATTTTTGAACGAGAAGATCTAATTAATTTTCTGTTGAAAGCTCCAGATTCCAAGTTTTTAATGATCAAAGTGTTCGTATGGTGTGTTG